GGGCTCTGGGGCCAAGAGCGCAGCTCAGGCCGCGGCCCAGACCAATTCCAACGCGGCGGGCAAACAGCTGCGTAAAGAGTCCCAGAAAGACCGCAAGAACCCGCTGCCTCCCAGCGTTGGCGTGGTTGACAAGAAAGAGGAGACGCAGCCGCCCGTGGCGCTTAAGAAAGAAGGTAAAGCTGGGGTAGGAGGTGGGGGAGACCCGAGATGGAGGGAAGGCGAGAGGGGATTTGCGCTGCCACTTGTTTCTGGAGCTCCGAGCGTCCGCGGGAGACTTTGCCGCCGATTTCCTCACGTTTCCCCCACGCGACAAAAACCAGGTCCTGCGAAGGTGCTGGGAGCATGGTAGCCCCAAGTTCAAGCCTCCGCCTGCAGGGTTCCCGGAGCCACCCCCTTCCCGCCTCAGGTTCTGAGCGGAGGAGCGTGGTGCGGAGACGAGCTGCCCCTCGAGCGTGCTCGGCGTCCTGGGAGGCTGTTGCCTTCCCGCCGGTTTCCTGGGCGGGCGAGCGCATGAACCGAGGTGCGGGGAAGCCAGTCCCTTACCGAAGCATTTCGTAGTTACGGAGAAGCTTGGGATCCACAGCTTCTTCCTTCGCAGAGCCCTTCCTCAGCGTGCTCCTTTGAGGTGCTGTTGTCTGTATTGGGCTTCTGTCCTGCCATCTTGTCCCACCTTGTCGCGGAGTACCCCAGTGAAAATCTGGGGGTGGGAATTTACACTCAAGCTGCTACTGTGTTCGAGGTTATCAGAAATTGTGGAGTAAGCTGCTGTTTCGGGGTGCCACATGTGCTTTATTGCTGCCCCTCAGCTATTATAACTTGCTGGAGTGAGTTAAGCTGTTGGGAAGCAGAGGTATTTGGCTATACTCGATGAAGTAGAAGCGGGAATTCCGAATGAATACTGGTTATTGCGGGAAAGCCTGGGATCGCCCTCGTACCACGGTCTTTTCTCCCGACTTCCGAAATTCAGTGTTTCATATGGTGTGGCCTGGCCTGGGCCTCGTAGGTGCTGAGAGTGCAGAGGCTGTCACAACGTTAGCCGCTGTAGAGCTCTTTAGAGCCTGCAGCTTTCTCTCCACGTGTGTGTGAAGACCGGTCAGGATTTCACTGGCAGTTAATAGTTGCTTCCAGGTTACTGTGCATTTCATAGAGTTGTCTTGATTTTTGCATTCTCACTCATTGGTTTATTGTGGCTGAAATGGAGCAAAACAATTGGGGGTAAGGAAAAGCGTGCATGATCAATAAATAAATAGCAAGTAGGTGTAGGGCCTAAACCTTTGAATCTTTAAAGTTGTCTGTATGTGTTAAAAGTTGAAATTACCCCTTATTGCCACGTGCTTCTGAAAGGAGTTGTTTCTCATTAGCTGTAGTTGAATTCTGTACCATTCAACCAGTTTTAAAAATCAAAACAATTTACTTGTGTTGGGTTTTGGTTTAGGAATTATTTATTTTTTTGAGGAAGTTTCTCATTAGCTGTAGTTGAATTCTGTACCATTCAACCAGTTTTAAAAATCAAAACAATTGTGTTGGGTTTTGGTTTAGGAATTATTTATTTTTTTGAGGAATTTTGTGAGGCTTGGAATGGAGAACCTAGGACATAGGTGATGAATAAAACAAAGGAATTAATTTATGTGTTAAAATTATAGGTTGGGGAAAAGCACAATTGGAGCATTAGAAAGCATGTATACAATCACTTAGGCCAAGTATTTATTCAGCCAATTAAGCTTTATGGCAATCTAGCACTATTGAACAAATCATTTAATTCTTGTGTTAAGGAACACTGGCCTGTGCAATTATTTAAACTGTGCTCAAGTTTACCTCCTTGGTCACACTAATCTTAAAAAAGTATATGAAAATGTTGAGTCTAAAGCACAAATCTGAAATGTGCCAGGTAGGTGTGTTCACTCATTTTGGATGTTCAAAGCATGAAGCATGGTTTAAATGCCTCTTTTGTTTTGATCGTGAGGCCCATCTATGAAATTAGCTCTTGGAGGAAGCTAGTGTCTTAAGTTATAAATGTAGGGAATTGTTTCATGAATTTATAACCAGGACTAAGGTTTTCAGGTCTTAGTTTTTTAAGTCATTCTTTTCTTGGGAAACCTGTTCCGTGTTAGCTGTTAACATTTCCCTTAGGTCCGTATTTCAGACTACTCTTAAGTTGCATAAAACATAAGCTTTTGTAGAAAAAATGTTGAATGAAAAATACTCGTTTTGAGATCCTACCACCTGTCAGTCAGTGTTCTGTGCGTTGGCTATAAACAAAGTCCGTTGCCCCTTAGAGTGGGAAGGATTGTTACCCTGATCATGTGTTCTGTGCTTTTGAGAATAGGTCAAATGCTAGACATACTTCTGATAGGAACTTAATGTTTGTTATATAAATTAACATTATAACTTATCTTTTGTCCATTTGAAGAACTTGAGAATTGACTTATCAGAATGTCAGAGTATAGACCAAGGGTTTTTTTGTTTCTTTTTTTTAATAATTAAAGCCTGGAATTTAATACAGTTATTGAGCTTGCAAGTACAGATAAGTATATCAAAAAGAAGCTTGCATTTTTTAAACTATCAGTCATTTCTCATTAGGTGAGTTTATTTAGTAAGGGTTTTTTGTTTGTTTGTTTGTTTGTCTGTAAACCTAATGTTGAATATTGGGTGGGGAAGCAAGCCTTTGTTCATTTGGGTGTGTTTGGCTTGGATGTCATTAAAAGGACTTGTTCTATAGCTCCACCCCAATACAGTATACCACTGATGAAATTTATTTAAATGTTTTATTGTAAAGTCTAACATTTGTGGTCTATCCTGAGAGTTTACTGAGAATGAACCTTAAAATTTTAGTAAAGAGATTACAGGCAACTGAATAATTGGGTGTGTCCTGATGGTGTTCCACTTTCTTAGAAAGAAGCAGAGTGAAGCAACTTAAGATCTTGTAAAACCAATTCCTTAGCTGCTGTTTGACTTTGTCAGAAATTGTGGTGTGGAAATTACAGCACACCTGAAATCTTATAGTCATGAATTTAACCATCGATCCTGTTTCTCCTAAGGCCAACAATAATTCATATTGGTTGCCTTTTGTGGGCTTTAGACATTAATAGGAAAAAAGTAATAAGGGGGGAAATGAATAGATGCTTCATAAATCACTTAGTTTCCTATTGTTTATATATTGTTTAAAAGGGGTCCTTTGCGTGTGTGTGCTTTTTAAAGATTCTTTGAAAACAAAGATACTTGTAAGGGCAAACTAAAAAAAAGGCTGTCTCCATCCATAATAAATAACTGAACTATTTCCTAGTGGTTACATAACAGTATTTGAAAGTTATATGTGGGGGAATGTGCATATAGATGTGTATGTACACATGTACATTTATATGTTATATATTTTAAAACTAATAGAGGAAGATAGTACTTTTTTCTGGTTAAATAGCTATTTTAAACTGTAGGGAAGTTTTCTAGCAATCTAAATGCCATTTGTTTTCCTTTCAGATTTGTGATTTCATAGAATTATGAGTCTTTTTACTCTATTGCATTTTTTCTTCAGATTATATAGACTAAAATAGTGTGACCTTTACTCTTTTTTTGAGAGGCCCTATCTAGTCAGTGTGTTGATTTGCTTGGTTATTTATGAATGGCAACTGGTATTATTTTCTTTGGTATTATTAAAGCTAAAATGTATCACTTGCCTAAAATTTCTTTAAATTAAAAAATAAAGAATTTAAGAGACTGTGATATCTTGAAAAGCAAGAGTAATAATGGCTGCCCAAATGACTTTCAAGTCAGGTATAGAGAATGCCTTGGGCAGGGGGAATAATTTGGCAAGCTAAAGTAGAAGTTGTCTAAGAATTTCCCTGGAGTACTTTGTTACATGTTAGGGATGCCCACTGTTTGCCTTTTTCAATAGGAAGTGCTAGTTAGTGGACTGAAAGAAGAGTAACTTTTTTGTTGATGTATTTGATGGTGTAAACTTTTTGTGTTGCAAAAATAACTTGCTTAAGCGAGTTATTTATCATTTTAGGAATAAGACGCGTTGGAAGAAGACCTGATCAACAGCTTCAGGGTGAAGGAAAAATAATTGATAGAAGACCAGAAAGGCGACCACCTCGTGAACGAAGATTCGAAAAGCCGCTTGAAGAAAAGGGTGAAGGAGGCGAATTTTCAGTTGATAG